GGATTGTGTTATACAATATCACAGAGTAGCACACAGGGATATAGGATATAATTAGGAAAAAATATGGGAGATCAAATGAATGTCTGGTCACATCTTTCAATAGAAGGGTAGAGGCTGAACAACATCTGCAAGGAAACTGTCCGAACAGAAGGAGGAGGGGCTTTTTGCCTTGAATGTATGGACTTTTGTCTTGGTCACATATAAAGCTTTAAGTTTCACAGTAAGCATTCTTATATTAAAGTGTTGGGCTTTCTAGTTATCCATGTTAGGTTTCATTGTTCTATTTGTTGATATTTTTAACAACTAATTTTTTTTAACTTTAACAGTTTTATTGACATATAATTCACATTTCATACAGCTCAATAGTTTAAACCCATTAAAAAGAGGGTGCAATCATTACTACCATCAATTTCAGAACTTTTTTTCTTTCTTGTATTTGTTATTATCAGCTCCCCATTTTCCCTAACCTCCCCTTGCTATCACTCCAGGAAACGATTAATACAGTCGCTGTCTCTGTAGATTTACCTATTCTGGATTTCCTGTTGAGAAAAACATACAAAAGCAAAAACACAGAAACAAGAACCCAACCACAAGGACAAAATAAAACATAGAAAAGCCTCAGTTGAAAAGATAACAGAAAATCATAAAAACTAAAACAATTTCAAATGGGCCAAAAGAGAGAACAAATGATGAGCTGTTGATTTTTAATCTAACTGGGCGAACCCCGATTTTTGGGTCAAACCTATTCATATAATATTGTTTGCTTTTTGTTAATTGCCGATCAACAAAGATAAGGCTTACTGGTCAGATAGAGACTGGTAGAACCCTAAGATTATGGCTCTTGGTCACCTTCAGGCTTGCACTTGAACTCACTCTTATGGCTCAATTTTCATCCAAACTAAACCAAACCCACCATCACTGAGTCAACGCGGACTCGTGTTGGGAAGTGTTGTTGAGTCGGCTAAGACTTGTAGCGACTCTATGTACAACACGGAGAAACACTTCCTGGTCCAGCGAAGTGTTGGACACAACTGTTCTTACGTTGGGGCCTATTATTGCTGCGTCCACTGTGTGGAGCCAGTTTGCTGAGGGCCTTCCTGTTTTCACTGGCCCTCCCCTTTACGAAGCATGATGTCCTTCTCCGGGGACTGGGCTCTCCTGACAGCATGTCCAAAGTAAGTGAGATGAAGTCTCACCATCCTTGCCTCGAAGGAGCATTCTGGCTGCACTTCTTCCAAGACAGATCTGTTTATCCTGTTCTTCACCAGCACCATAAATTCAAATGCACTGATCTTTCTTCGGTCTTCCTTATTCGATGTCCAATTTTCACATGCACATGAGGCTACTGGAAATAGCATGGCATGGGTCAGGCACACCTTCGTCCTCCAAGCAACATCCTTGTTTTCCAACACTCTAGAGAGGTCTGGTGCAGCAGATTGACTAATGCAATGTGTTGTTTGATCGCTTGACTACTGCTTGCATGAGCTTTGATTGTGCATCCAAGCAAGATGAAATTCCTGACAACTTCCATTTTTCTCCATTTATCAAGATGTCAGCTATTGGTGCAGTTGCGAGGATTTTTGAGTTTTGCTATTTTTTTTTAAACAGTGAGTTACTTGCTCTTAATTAGAGAGTAGCTAAGGCAAATGGAAGAAATGATAAAGTCCAATAATTGAAAATTTCAAAGGGCTAGAAACCAAAAAGAAAGAACACACTCCGCATATCTCAAACTGAAAGAACTCGAGGAAAAATTCAAACTTTGAATTTCACGATTGAAAGATAGCAGGGGCAAAAGACTGACTGAGGGAGGAAGCGTGACAAGACGGTGGAACAATACACAGTCACTGTACCAAGAATAATGAGCTGACAATTCGACCATTTCAAGAGGCCGTAGATGGGCAAGAACTGATGCTCCTGAAGGAAGAAGTCCAACCTGCATGGAAAGCAATAGCCAAAAACAAGGCTGCGGGAATTGGGGGGATGCCGACTGAAATGCTTCCAGAAGCTGACGAGGCACTAGAGGCACTCACTCATCTTTGCCAAAAGGTTTGGAAGGCAGCTAGTTGGCCAACTGGCTGTAAGAGATCCATATGTATACCCCTCCCAAAGAAAGGGGATCCCACGGACCCCTAGTAACTCTATGAAACAGAGTGGAACTGCCCCCGCTGGGTTTCCAGGCTGCACGTTTCACGGCAACAGAAAGTTTCATCTTTCTTCCGTGAAGTGGCTGGTTGGTTCAAACCGCTGATCTTGCTGACAGGTAACCCACTCTGGGACCAGGGCTTCTCAGAGGGCCCTATATGAGGGGGAGTAACCCTAGGGAGGTACACAACCACAGAATACTCAACCGTTATTTCACCCCAGGACCACGTCCACCTGAGGGTTAGGCAAGAAGAAGGAATGGACATGAAAATCACAGGGAGGGAATGGGATAAAGTGGTGTCACATGGTGGGATTGCAGGCAAGGACACAAAACAAACTGCGAATGACTTGTTGAAGGAAAACTCTTTTGCTCTGTGGACCTTCACCTATCTTAGAATAAAAAGTTAACAAACATAAAGACAGAAAACGGAATCCAAAATAGTAAGAACATAATAATGCCAATTCTACACAAATTCTTCCAGAAGTTTGGGGGTGGGGGGAATCATCAATGAATAGTAATTACCCCTGGGAAGGGGAGCAAGCCAAAAAGATGGCAGTATGCATAAATTTGAATGATTTATATTTTCCTAAAAAGTGAAAAACAGTCCAAGCTGTCCTCCTGAGACCAGCGAGTGAGTCACACGAGCAGGTACACAGAGACGGGAGGTACAGATGGCCCACAGCGATGTTCCACCAGGACAGGTATCGGACACAAAGCAGAAGCCACCATCCTACACACCTATCCCGCAAAACCAACCGCTGAATCTTCAGCATCTGGAGTGCCGGGTGCAGTGCCGACAGATTTATGACAAGAGAGATGTCAGGGAACTGGAGAAGGCCCAAGGAAAGGCGGCTAGACGGATCACGAAAACAAGAAGGCTGCCACGTGAGGAAAAGCTGAGAGGAGCCAGCCGAGGGTGGAAATCATTGTGAGGTATGGCCAAAGCAATAAACGGTAAGGATAAAAACATGATCCTTCCATCTTGCGCACAAAATCGCGTCCTGCCAGCCTAAGAGGGAGCCATCTGGAGACAAGTCTGGGGCAAACATCGGGAAAATCCACTGTGACGCAGGAAGTAGATGGACAGCACACACTTCAGGGAGACAACCTCACCCATGGAGAGGAAGCGGGAAGGTCGAGGAGAGCGGACGGACACGGAAAACAGCACCACGGCGACTCGGGACAAGGAGAGAGTCAGGAGTGGCAGCTGCTGGGCCTTTGAGCGCTCCTCCTTTGGCCAGTCCCCACCCACCCCCAAACTTCTCTTTCCCTGAGATAGCCCAAGGGGGCCTCTGCTCCTGCAGCCCTGAGAGCTCTGACTCAAAACCAGAATATGAACAAATTCACAAGTGGTCCCTACGGTTGAATTGTGTCCGTTCCCCGACTCCCCCAACCAAAACATATGCTGGAATCCTGGCTGCATGTCTGTGGATGAGATCGTGCTCTGTAATACTAAATGGGGCCATGCCTTGTAGGATGTGTCTTATGCCTAATCACTTCTGCATTCTACGAAGAGTGGGCTAGACACAGAAGGAGGTAGATCCGAGCACGGCAGATGCCGTGTGAGGATGGCCCACAGGCCAGGTTGACAAGGCATACCCAGGACCCCCGCAAGGAAGGCACTGGGTGTCTGGCTGGTTTGGCACTAGCCTGATCTGGACTTTTAGCCTTCAGAATGGTGAGAAAGGTAACTTCTCTCTATAAAGACACCCAGAGCCTTTGGGTTACAACAGCACATCGGGCATTTGGGTTGATGTCTGATGTCGGCAACTAAGACGCCATCCACAATCAGCTTACACAAATTCAGGAACGGCCAAGCCCGTCACAGCAGGTTGCCAAGGCAGAACCCCCCAGCCAAGCTGAGGAGGCTCACAAGGACCTCCGGAGCAACCCACATCATTTTTGACCCACTAGAGAGGTAAAACTGTCATTCTCAGTTTTGATTTGCAAGAAATAATGGCATCTCCTTCACATGCCCAAGACATACGAGACCTGGCCCAGGACAGCGGCTCTTTGACTCGAAACCTAAGGACCCAAGCCAAAACCAAACTCACGACCATCAAGTTGATGCCGACCAGGTTGAACTGCCCCTGTGGGTTTCCGAGACTGTAACTCCTTACGGGAGTGGAAAGCCCCACTGTTCTCCCGGCTGGTGGTTTCAAACTGCTGGCCCTGCAGATAGCAGCCCAACCCGTAACCACTATGCCACCCGGGCTCCTGACACATAAGTACTAAATCCTGTTATAACCCAAACCAAACCAGCTGTCCTCCAGTCAAGGCCAACCCACGGGGCCTCCATGTTGCCAAAGAAGAACTGAACTCCTTGGGGTTTGCTTGCATGGCTGATGTTTTGGGGGATATCTCGTCAGGCCTTTCTTCCAAGGCGACTCTGGTAGACATGCACCTCCAGCCTTTCCGGTAACAGCCAAGGCACGAATCGTTTTCACAAAAACCAAAAACTAAATCCACTGGCAAGTCCAACTTATAGCGATCTATAGGGTTTCTGAAACTGTATAGCTGTATGGGAACAAATAGCCTCATCGTGTTCCCTTGGAGCAGCTGGTGGGTTTGAACTGCCCGGCTTGCGGTTAACAGTCCAATGCTTGCCCAACAGCACCACCAGAGCTCCTCACTTTCATCAGAGTGACCATCAATTCAGCCTGTGCTCAGGCACAAAGCATTGGGTGGCCAGCCTAGCAAAAGAACAATAATAATAATAATAATAATTGCACACTGCTGTGTCTAATTTGGTGTAGGATAGGAGGATGGTGGCCAGCAAAAGCTGATGTCTGATGTCAGGTACCATGGCCTTCAGCCAGCCAAGTCCATGGGCAAGCCTCACCTGGTGCTAACTTACCATGGTTTCCACTCCATGGGCAGTGGGGCCACAATGCCCTCCCGTGCCAACCACATCAGTTCTGGTTCTTTGTTGGGGTCAATGCCAATCTCTCTTGCAAATTCAAGAATCTCTGTAAGGAGAGGTAGGAGGGGTTGGGAGTAGGTAAGAGAAATACGGCGTGGGTTAAAAAAACAAAACTCATAATATATATATTTTTTTCTATTATGGTTTTACTTTCTAAATCTCATCAGTAAGCAGGTACTATTTCTCTTAATCTAAACAATGAGCACATGTAACTTTTTTCTTTTCACCAGAGTTTACAATGATACCCCTGAAACAAGAAAGCTGCCATCAGACTCCAAGAAGATGATCTGAAGCCTGGCACATCAAAGACAGATAACGAAGTAAGACGAGGACCGCAGCGTGGCAAAAGACGTGGGCAAATGCCAACAGCGATAGCCAGAAGCAAGGACAGTCTTACCAGAACAACATAATAAACTCTTCCAAGAACTGGAAAAGCACTCATCACTCATTCAACAAGCATGCCTTGAACAACTACAAATGACTCAGCCCCTTGAGAACCTTACAAACGGATAAACCAGGTGATACACCTTACACCACAGCTGCTCACTCTGAGCTAAGGGAACAGAGAGAAGGTGGTGGCTTATTCGGCCGAGGGACTAGGGATATCTGAGATGATGAAGCGGGTTGATACGCAGACAGGCTTCTTCCTCTGCACACTGAACACATCTCTTCCATGAAGGTGCTATAGATCGAGAGCTATAATGTTTTTGCTGTTTTGCTGTTGGAATTAGCCTTAAGAGAAGCTTTCTTTGCAAGATTTCTGGAGGAACAGGAGAGGGAAGCGTACCGAGTTAGGAGCTGTCTCTCCTATAAGGGAAAAGTACAGATCAGATAACCATTGGAACATGTTACCAGCTGCCCCAGGAATAAAGAAATAAATGCTCAAGCAGCAGCAGCAGTGCTGGAGCTGATCACAGCCCAAGCTAGGCAGACATCACCATTAGGAGTCCTCTCCATCAGGCTTTGGAGGGTGGGACACCTGGAACTAGCAAAGCAAGGTGTTTGTCTTCACGGGACCGTGGCTGTCAGGGACTAATGGGTTCGCTGATTTTATCAATATTTTCTGAGTACTTCCTATGTGCCAGGTGTTCTGGATAGCCATGAATAAGAGACAGATGGTTGCTGCCCGTAGGAAAACGACATTCTAACAGAGGACACAACCATGAAAGAAATCAAGAAATATGAGATTGAAGCTTCTGATAAACATAATGGAAAAAGTAAACAAGCGTTGAACATCTAAACACCTTGAAGATGTGGGGAGAAGAGAAGACCCTGTCGGCTGCTGCCCTGCAACACTGTGCTCAGGTCACCCCATGCCAACCGACACTTACTTCTACCACAGGGACCAGGATGGGGCATGTAGAGCTCGGAGACAGCCATATATTGCTGTTGGTAGGCAACAGGGAGGAGCAACCTCCCTTAACGATACTTATTTACATAGAACTCAAGGGGAGAATACACCTGGTAGTAGGTTCCTAATTGGACACTTTGGATCTAGTTTCTCTCCAGCCTTTGGTGACCCAGGCTGTGTGCTACAGACCACTGGGACTTTAGACTCTGTCCTTTTGAATGCAAAACATCCTTTATACGCCATACCAGACAGAACTGTTTGCGGCAATAGCAAGCCCAGTCTTTCCTCCGAGAAGCTGCTGTGGGTCTCAAACTGCTGACCATGTGATCGCAGCCCAACTCGTAACACTGGGAGCCCTGGTGGCATCGTGGGTTCTCACTGGGCTGCCAACTGGAAGATGGGCGGTTGAAACTTAGGAACTGTTATTTCATACGAGAAAAACAGTGAGGAGGTCGTTTCTGGGAAGATTGATAGCCTCACAAACCGTATGGGGCAGTTCAACCCTGTCATACAGAGTCTCTGGGGGTCAGAATTGACATGAAAACAAGAAGCAAGGTACTAAAATCAGTGATAAAGTCAAAAATTAAGAGCATGGCACTAGTGTACATACGACTGGAGAGTCCAGTGGACCGGCAGAAGAAAGTAGACCAGAATCCACAGAGATGACATCCACTTCCACAGAATAAGATGGGCTAGATGGAACAGGTGGTAGGCTTATAATGGAAACAAAGACAAGTGGATCCATGGTGCACAACATTCACTAGGAGAGAAACCCCACACAGATCAAAATTTCAAATGCAAAAATCTAGCAGAAAACCTGAGAGAAGTATTTTATCCTTGAAGCGGAATGGCTTTTCTAACTATAGTACAAAATTCAGGGTTGCATAAGAATGGATTAGTAAGTTTAACATAAAAAAAAACTAAAGTCCTATGCTAAAGGCAAAGTCCACAGTTTCATTTCAGATTCATTACTTCTAGGGATGGAATCTTTACCCCTTAACAGATTTATTAACAACCTGAGGTTGTAAGCAAAATTTGTGTGCTCCAATCTGTAATTCATTAAGAATCCCAAAGGAAACTTCACCCGAAAAAATAGGATAGCAATAAAGAAAACGTGCAGGTTCTGGAATTACAATACCTAGAACTATGGAACTGCAGGTCTGTTTCCTCATCTATAAAATGGCTATAATAATAGTACCTAACTACCGGTACAAGCCACTTAACGTCCACCTGGGAAACGTCCCAGGTGTCGGAGTCGCGGATCCTCATCGTCAGGACACAGCCCCACTTTTGCTCAGTGGCTGCATGTGGCCCAGAAGCCCCTGGTCAGCCATGATGGAGGTGCAGGGCCACACCCCCAACCCCGGCTCCCTTGACTCAGCGAGTCTGGTTCTCGTGTTTTGCCCAGAGGGGTCCCACAGAACCCTAATGGAGAGGTGTGTGCCCCAGGGGCCCCAGCTTGGGCTCAGGGGCCCTTTGGCTCCTTGGTTCACACCATCCCTGCCCCAGGGCAAGTTCTCAAAGGGGAGCTGGACTTCCCTGCAGCTGGGTTAGCTGAGAAAGCAGTGAACACTAGGTGGGACCTGAGGCAACTGCAGGGGAGCTGCCCAGGCCACACGCCACATGCCACACAGCAGCCTGTGGGCCACTGCCTCCTGAAGCCCAGCACCCCGTGGACACAGGCGTTTATACAATGGCCAAAGCACATAACACCTATGCCCCAAAACGTATAGCGGACATTGAGCCACACAGACTCACAATGTGGTTGCGATCGAAGTTGAATAGGTTAAAACATGTAACATTCTTAGAATAGAGGCTGTCACCCAGTAGCACAATAAGTTATATTCTCATTATTGCAGGTCATGTTACTGTTGTGTTAAAAACATTTTGGGGGTTGTGCTAAAGGAATTGAGCTTCCAATTAGCCTCTGGACACACTCTACTTCATGATATGCCTTACTATATTTTCATTCAAAACAAATGATTGCTCTGACCCAGGGGTAAGCAAGTGTTTTCTATAAGGGGCTGTATTAGGTTTTGCAGGTCACGTGGTCACCATCACAACTTCTCAACACTGCCAGGGCAGCACAAAAGCAGCCACAGATAACACATGAACAGTTAAGGGCTACTGTTCCAGTAAACCTTTATTGACCAAAAGAGAGGACAGGTCAGATTAGCCCCTTGGGCTAGGGTTGGCCAGCCCTGATCTGACCCAAACACACTGAGCAGCAGTGTGCATGTGCCACATTTGGCACAGGAATCACAGAAGAAATCCCTCGGTCCCTACCCCCAAAGAACTACAGGCGGGCTCTGAGTTATAGATGTTTTATTATGTAAAGTTGTCCTCACTTTGAACCGCCCATCTCAAACCCCTTCAAATCAAGTCTTCATCCCAATCACCCTCACTTGCTGCACATAGATCACTGAAAGGCAGACTAACGGCCCCAAGCCTGACCTACGAACTCAACTTGGGGACTGATCTCCTTCGTAACCAGGGACCACCTGGGTGGTCATATACCATAGGCCTCTTACCTTGCTCACTAGGCATGTAGGTTTCATCATAGTCTTCCTCCAGAACCAGCTGGTCTCCTATGCGGATGGGTCGTCCAGCCATGTTTCCTCTGGGCTCGGACACCAGGGTCCCAGTGAGCTACAGCCAAAGGGAAAATCAGTGAGCCAACTTCGAAAGGGAAAACGTGGACCTGGCTCCTGGGACACCCGAGTCAGAGCAAAGCTCCCCGGAAGCTGGAGGCACTGACAGGTGGGAGGAGCAGCTCCGGGTGGAAAAGTTTGGAGGGGCGCCCTCCACAGGCTTGCAAAGCCCTCAGTGAGCCCCCACCACCAAAACCTGGAAACCTGGTTTCTCAAGATGGGCTTCGTATCCCCCAACCCCAAGGAGGAGGAAGAATTAACTCAGACGGATCAGACCCCTGGCTCAAAGCCCCCCACCACCAGCACTCACTGCTGTGCTGACCAGAGAGACCCTGTAAGACCTCCCAAGGAGGAATCCGGTGGCGTAGTAGGTCACAGGGTCGGCAGTGGAACCCGCGGGAACCCATGGGGTGGTTCTACGGGGTAGCTGTGAGTCAGAATCAACTCGATACCACTGAACCTTTGTTCTAGGTTTCCAACACTGTCCATCTTTAGGGTACAGACAGCGGGTGAGACAACCCCCAATCTGGTGGTTGGCAGTCCGACGCTGAACACGTTGTCCCACCCAGGGCCCCTTGCTTCCAGGAAGCCATCCCACTGAAGGGATGAAGGCAGGCTTCGTCAAAGTGCGGGGAAGGAAAGCTGCCAAAGCTTCTGACAGTGAAGGAAGGGGTTCTGGAAAGGGGCCCAGTCACAGCTCGCACGGCTGGGAGAGCCTGGAGGACCAGGTGAAGAACCCCCACTGGGCCTGTGGTAGAGGGGCCTGGGGGAGGGAGGTGGCGCAAGGTGGCCTTTCTCAGAATGAGCACCTGGGCAATGAGCAACGTGTGTGGGGAACACCGCTGGGGAGGCTGCACCCGGGTAAAAGGTGATGAGGCCTTAAAGAGGGGCAGAAGCCCTGGGGATGCGGATGGGGATGGGATAGGGCAGGTGCAGGGGCACTCCGGTGTTAGACTTACAGGACCGGGAGGTGGAGGTAAGGGGAGGAAAAGAGTTACCAACTTGAATCCAATGCTCCTAGCTCCAGGGATGGGGCAGTGCCAAATTCTTCAGCTGACAGTCAGCTGACAACCGCTCCTCCCTCACCTACCCCTCCTCAGGAGCCCTGGGCCACGCAGCTGTGCCCTGTGGTAGCCTCCACCCTGAGGTCCGAAGCAGCAGAGGCAAGCCACCGTACAAAATGGCTGCCACGACCAGCCCTGCGCCGAGTGCCTCCACCGAGAGAGGAGGGGACGGTACACCACGTGCAAGCAGCAGGGTCTGGAGCAGCAGGTCCCGACTCCCCCTACACGCACTTCTTCAGGAGCGGGCACTGCTCCCTGGAGCCGGAAACCTGGAGAGCTCTCTGGGCAGGGAAGTGAACAGAAAGGCTGTCCTCAAAAAGAAGGTAGCGGCCTGACCTGGTCACACCGCTCAGAAGCAACTGGACCTGGTGACTCTGTACCAGGTACTTAGAGGGGAATCCCCGACTAAGGACAAAGCCTCCATCAAGGACAGTGGCCCTTTCTGAGCCACAATAGCCTCATAAGATGTGTTAGTCCAGGTAGACTAAAGAAACAAATTCATAGACACTCATGTGTGTAGTAGAGAACTTTATGTAAAATAATTGTATGTTGAGAAAACATCCCAGCCCAGCCCAGATCAAGTCCATAAGTCTGACATTAGCCCATATGTGCAATACCAGTCTATAAATTCCTCTTCAGTCTCATGAAACACATGCAATGATGCCAAATGCAGGAAGATCACAGGCCAGTGGGTTGGAAGTCTTGTAGATCCAGTGGCGGTGGCAGCATCTTAGTGCTGGCATGAGTGTCTGCGGTAGTTTTATAATCTGGTGTCAATTTGGGACTTGAGAGGATTAAGAATGAAGGATGGAGTCTAGTCTGTCAATCAGATTGTAGCCAATGAAGCCTCTATGTAGGCATGGCCTTCTCCTGAGAATTCTGGGAAATCCGGTATTTCCTCCTTGGCGGGGGAGAACCTCCTTGGAAGAAATTGCAGCTGACAAGACACATGGAACTACACTAGTGCCCTGAGCAATCAGACCCCTGATGCAATCAGACCCCTGCCAGAGCTAAGATGCTTACACTGCCACTTGATCCAAAGACTTTCTACTCACTGGCCTGTGATCGCCCTGCATTCAGCATCATTGCATGTGTTTCATAAGTCTGAAGAGGACTTTATACATTGGTATCGGACATATGGGCTAATATAGGACTTATAGGCTTGGACTGGACTGGGTTGGGATGCTTTCTTAATGTACTGAATGTGCTTTCTTTATATCAAATTCTCTCTTCTATACACACGAGTTTCTATGGATTTCTCTAGTCTACCTGAACTAACGGTCTCCATGTGGTTCCTCCTGCTCCAGGGCTCTGGCTCCATCAGTGTGTCTCCATGTGGCTTGTCAACAGGAATGTGTAGCAGAGAGAGTGTAAGTGGCCTCCAGTGAGCTATTTCTCTCCGTTGTGCCTCCAGATGAGGTCATCAAGCTACCGCCTGATTGACAGGCTAGACTCCACCCCTTCGCAAGTTGACAGGAGATTATGTAACTGCCACAAAGACATGCCCTGTATGAACTGCAGTCCACAGGGCTACAACGAAACCACACTCTGCCCTCTCTTGTTCCCCTCACACCCCTCCAAGCGGGGCCTTCTCGCCAGGAGGAAACGAGTGAAGGCAAATGGATTCTTCTCTGCAATCACTAAGCTCCCTGCCCACAAAGGGCCTACAGGTAGACTACAGGTAGGCTGCTGATGTCGGGGAAGAGGAGGGGCGACCTGCTGCTGACACTGACGCTAGAGATGTAGAGTGGAAAGGTCCCAAGGCTTACCACGCCTTCCATGTGACCCACAGCCGGGTGACTGCAGGGTCACCTGATTCTTTAATCCTCTTGGAGGAAAGGAGCCGAGCATGGGAAGGAGAGATTAATAGTGGGCAGAACACCCCAAGTGTGGGGACATGATTTCATCCAACAAGCATTTGTGGCTCTATTCAATGCACTGCATTATTAACTATTTTGGAGAATCTGAGACATTTCGCATTGAGAAGTGTCACCTATCCCTAAACATCTCCAGAAAGCATGAAACAAACACGTAAAATCTTTGTCCTAAGACAAGTCTAATTAGCTGAAAATACTTATCTGGCTTAACTCTTTAGAAGGCCAGGAAGAACCTGAAAATCTGAACTTCGATCATCGAAGTTCAAACAACTCTTTTTATTTTGGACAAGGGGGAGTGATTATTTTAAATTTTTTTTAATTTTCATTTTAAATTAAAATATGGGTAGGCTATATTCTAGCACCTTCCCTTGCCTTACTTGGCTTCAGAAAACATATGGGTTCAGGTCAGGGTCAAAAAGGGCTGGTGTTCTAGGAAAGAGGCAGGTGGAGACAGAGATATTTATTCAATGTCTACTAGAAATCATTTGCTCGTTCAAGAAGTTCAAGAAATCGTTTCAAGAAGCTCGTTCAGGAATCGTTAATCGTTCAATAATTGTTGTTATTGTTGAGGGCCATCAAGTCGGGGCCAAATCACAGGGAGCCCACCAACAGCACCGTGCTCCCAAGTATTGCCACACGTGGGCCCATTGTCCTAGATGCTGGGTCAATCCATCTTGTGGAAGGTCTTCCTCTTTTGCTCTGACCCTCTACTTTAGCAAGCATGATGTCCTTCTCCAGGGACTGGTCTCTCCTGACAACATGTCCTAAGTACATGAGACAGAGACTCACGACCCTCGCTTCTAAGGGGAATTCTTCCATGATACATCTGTCTATTCTTCTGGCAGGGGTCTCTCCAATACTCTTCACCAACAACAGACATTCAAGGGATCAGTTCGTCTTTGATCTGTCCAGTTTTGGCATGCCTGTGAAGCAATTTGAAATGCCATGGCTCGGTCAGGTGCACCTTAGTTTTCTAAGTGACATCCTTTTTTTTTTTTAATCCTCTTTTTTTTTCAACACATTAAAAATGTTTATTGAGTATCGACTATAGACCAAATCCATCCCTGTATACTGGAGTAACTATTGTGATCAGACACACATTCAGTTGCTACTCTCCTAGAGTTAGTCTAGTGAGGCCGGTAGACCAGCAAGCCAACAGTTACAAATAAGGAAACTCACCCCACTACCGTGACCCAGTTCTACTGTACAAATCCAGCAAGACCGGAGAATACACATTAGTACAGATAAGCGCTCTTGACACATGGAATTCAGGACAGACAAACCCCTCGGGAACAGTAGTGGGAACAGCGATATCATGAGGGGAGGGGGATGGTCGGGGAGGGGGAAGGGGGAGAAAGGGGGAACCCATCCAAGATTGGATGTATAGCCGCCGCCACCCCCAAATGGGTACGAATAACAGAGATGTGGGGGAAGGGAGACAATGGACAGTGTAAGATGTGAAATAATAATCACAATATATCATTAATCAAGGATTCACGAGTGTGGGAGGCTGGGGGAGGACAGGTGAAAAAAGAGGAGCTGATACCAAGTACTCAAGTAGAAAATGTTTTGGACACGAGGATGGCAACATATGTACAAACATGTTTGATACAATTGATGTATGGAATGTCATAAGAGCTGTAAGAGCTCTCAATAAAATGACTTTTAAGAAAATAAGGAAATGGTCACAAATCAGGTGGGATTTCGACAGGCAAAGAGCCTGCTTGAGTTGATGGCTGTGCTCAAAGTGGAGTCCCCGGCGATGCAAACCATCAAGGGCTCCGCCGCTAACCACAAGGTCGGAGGCTCGAATCCACCCAGAAGCACCTCAGAAAAAAGGCCAGATGATGAACTTCCAACACAATCAGCCCCCCAAGCACAGCTCGACGCTGACACTCGTGGACTCGGCTGACGAGCGCTTGGTTTTTCTTTTGCTTGCATGCTGACAACTGAAGGGCGAAGAAGAAAACCTGTTCTAGGGGCAGGAGGAGTACGGTGCGAAGGGCCCTTCGGCAGGAAGCCACAGCAACGTAACTCATGGCAGCTTCATGGAGCCGAGAACTAGGCCTTCATCGTAAAAGGGATACCCAAATCAAAAAACACCGCCATCGAGCCCATTCCGACTCATGGTGACCCTACAGGGCAGAGGAGAACTTTCCCCTGTGGGTTTGGGAAACCGTAACTCTTTTCGGGAGTATGAAGCCTCCCATTAGCAGCCTAACTCTTAACTACGATGCCACCAGGCCTCCTCCTAAAATTATCTGGCCTTATTGGAAATGATTCCTGAGAGGACTGCCAGCTCCACAGTCAGATCATTTGTCACTGTTAAAGATCAGTTTTGAAGAAAGCAGCTTCTCCTTTGCCCAGTTGGATATACACTGGCAAGGGTTCCCTGCTCCACGCTCAATACGCCTAGGTCTTCTCCGGTCACTGTGTCTCAAGCCCTGCATTGTGGTCACCCCCTAGGAACACTCTCCCTTTCATCAGCACAGCCACAAGGCCATGCACACACTGGCACACTCACAGAGCCCAGACACCCCACCCCCGCGCCGGCTCCAGCAATTACAGGAAACGTACCAGAGGACAGAGCAGAGTTTCTGGAGGAGGGGCAGGGGCAAACGGTAGAAGGCATGAGAGCTGGTGGTGTCGGGGTAACGGGCAGTGGTTCTGGAGCTTTCTTAGCTCTCAGTCCCAGCTCTGCTGGGTACTCTTGGACGAGCTACTTTACCTCTCCTTGCCGCAGGGTCCTCCTCCACAA